TATTAAAAGCCGACGTTTCTTATTGAATATATATATAAATTATATGAGGATCGTTTACTCCAGTTAAATTTTGTAAAGGTTTGGTTTTTCGCTGAATTCAATATTTACAGAGATATTTGAGAAAAAGTAAAAAATATGAGCTTTGAATGACTCCTCTCACATTCCCATTCAATCCCCACTGTCAAAAACTTTTAGTATGATGTACAGGAGTAAGTGTGCTAAGTTTCAAATGTTCTATTTAGCAAAGTGTTGGCTAATTTGGGCAGACTATGAGCCTAAATGCAAATTTCTAGCTGAAATTCTGATACTTACTATTCTAATATGTTGTGAGATACTGAATACAAAATGAATATTTTAAAAATCTAGAAATACATCTTAAGCAGTTATTCCTAAATTTGATAGGATTGTTGAAATCGTAAATTATCCAGTAGTATATTTGTAATTATTCCTAATGTTGTTTGGAGTGCTGAATTTAAATTGAAGTTATCTAATAAAATTCCCTGGTGCTTTTTAAGATATTCATAAAAAAAAAAAATTTTCACTTGCTATTTTATGAGTATGTATAATGGATGTAGATACACTTTTTAAATGTAAATGTAGTCTGCATTTTGAGCAAAATAAAAATGGGAACCGAAATAAAATGATATACCATGAAAAGGAAATCAATCTCATCGATGGTTCAGAAACTCAGGCTTTCAAAGAAAAATAAATATTGGAGTAAGATGCAAACCCAAGACATACTTGAACTACAATTAATATCAGCTAAGAAAATATGTACAAACAAAATTAAGAAATATAAAGATTGATGAGGGTATAGCTTTAGAAGACAGAGCTTGAGAAAGTCAATTTTTTCCAATTCTGATGGTTTGCTCATGTAAAGCAAATGGATGAGAGTAGATTCTTGGAATTTGTAATATCACTGAGAGGTATAAACAAATTATTTGATCAGTGGGCAATAATGAATGAACCTATTTTTACATTCACTTACCTATTATGAAATATATAGAATGGAAGAATATAGAGAATTATATAAGAAATATAAAGTATTGCAATCGTGAAAAAATTTTAATCCGAGTTTTCAATGAAAATACATATTTTGATGTCTCTTGAGCCCAATTAACCAAGTCTCTCAAAATGGTGTGTGAGTGTGTAACAGTCTAGCTGAATAATGAAAAGTCATATGAAACTGAAATTGCTTTTTTAAGGTTTGCGTATTTGTGAGATGTTACAGGGATTTTTTAATCAAAATCATCTATATCATCGCTTTTATACATTTTTACAATTTTATCAAAAACTGCTCTAACGATTTTGATTAAATTCATTAGGTCAGTGTGAAATTAAGTGATTCTTATTATAGTGTAGGTCTTATTCTGATTTATGTTCTCTAACAGGGCTTAAATTTCATAATTTCTTCCCCTAAAGTACCTTTGATTCTATTTATTTGAAATAATTTAACATCTCACATTGTAACTTGCTATAAAAAATGGTTAAACACCACATATGAAAGAATTAGATAATTAATTAAAGGAGACAATAGAGAATCCAAGAAATCCAAGCTCGCACCCGAACTTGGCCGAAAGGTTAAATGTAACACGTGCTTAATAAAATACAGGCTCTAATAATATTATATATATGCAGTTTTCATATATGGTAGCATTGGATTTATAGATACAGCAATATAAAAATTAAAATTTGAACATATATCAATGCTTAAACAAATAAAAATAGCTACAATGAAATATAAATAAATATAGCGGCCTTCTTTATCAGTGGCCCTTTTGTTGGACTAAAAATATTTCGTGGCATTTAATTATTTGTAGTAATGAAATAAATTATTAAAATATAAAGTCATAAAATGAAATTTTTAGTGTCAAAATCAGTATAAATATAATGCATTAGATGGCTGTGAAGTGGTGTAATTTTCTAGTCATATATTTTAGATTCAGTGCCATTTTTTAAAAAGTTTTTCATAAAATATTAGATCAAAGGTCACCAAATGTGCACAGTTTTCACATCATGTATTATTTATTCAACGTTTCGGCTTCAGGAGCTATTTTCAAGATCCTGCAAACTAATTTTAATTCAGTTGTTATAGTTCAAACTACATCATTATATAACACATATTAATTCAATAACAATCAATAATCGGGTGACCGAATGGGCTAACGAGTGTGCATAGTCATGAGTTCGCATCCCGGTGCCAGGAGAGTCTTTTAAATCCCCACCCACACTCCCTGGTCCAGGAAAACTCTGTATAGCCTTAAAGATGAGGAAGGGGAGGACCCAAAAAAAAACAGTCAGTTATATAAATAGTCCAAATTGGTAATTAATTATTTTAAATATTTTGTGCTGTCTGCAATTTTCAATTTCACTACCCTTTCTCTGAAAATACTTATTTCTGCCAAAAAAGTGTGGTAGATGAAAATTGTGTGATGTGCACACCGCAACAGATTTTTTTCTTCTATGATTGGTAACAAGCTAGGATAAAAGACTCAATAATACTCTTATACCCCTTTATTATTTATCAGAGTAATGGAAAATGTAATCAAAAACAGCAAAAGAATAATGAGGCAATTTATTGACTAATAGAAATTACTAGCTTATGAAGATGTAATTCTTGTAAGCCTAGTAAACACTAGTAGAAATCATTTTTATGATATTTCTATATAAAGTCCAGAGACACCGTACACTTTATCTTTATGTGAATTTCTCAGTATCATTTCCGCATCGCACCATGGAGGACATAGTTTTGTGTGGAATGAGTTTCTGCTTAGTGCTAATTACAAGTGAAGGAACGTGAAAACGAAAATGTTGGTGGGCACACTAAGTGCTCGTAGAAGGAACTAGGTTCGGTTATGCATTATTAAATAAATTAAGACTGGGAGATGTCACAGTAATCTTCAATTAGTTTTATTTGTTGGTAGACCAAAAGATTTCAAAAGAACAGTAAAACTTTGGCAAATAACTGTAAACAGCCGAATCAACCATTCGGCAGCTGGAGGTAGACTGGGACGTGTCTCGCCCCTAGACGCTGAGTGATGTTCACAATGTCAAAATTTTGCGCAACATGTCTAACGTTGCATAATGCCCATTCTGATCAGGAGACTTTAGATCTACAATTTTTGATCTTGCAACAGGCCTATAGTCGAGGATTTGACTATAGAAATGTCTATGTAGACAAATTGAGACATGTCTCAGAGACCAAAGTCGCACATGTCTACTAGTGTGGACTAGGTTTTAGAAGCAACAAATGAAACTAAATATATTATTGGTAGGCAACAGGTACAGAGTAGCCCTGAACTGTCAATAGGCTCTCAATTGAAAAATTTAAATTCCTTAGTGTGAACATTAGTAGGATATAAAACTATTATAAAGTAAGTAAATCCAATAATTGAGGCAACAGCTCGAAAATCCTACAACTGCTACATAAACTAAAACCTTATTGGGAAAGATATTCCCATAAAAATTAAATTCCTAATTAATAAAATTTATAGGCTTATTTTCACCAACAAATTCAGAGACTAAGGCTTTTTTAAAAAACAAAACAAAAAAAGATGGAAGTTAAAACAAAACTAAAATTTTAAGTCAGTCTAAAAATAAATAAAATAGTGTAGTTACAGATAAGATTACATATTGAGTAAACTTAGTTCAATGAAATTCAGCTAATCACTAAAATTTGGTGAAATAGCAAATAATTCATTTTTTTGCATTGTTACAAAATTAAAGTATTTTGTTTTACATTACATTAAAGTCACAACTAAAATATGTATGAACTGGTTAAGATAATAAATTACATTTTGTGTCTAATTAAATCTTAATTTATATTTTTATAAAATAAAAAATATTTACATTAATAAAAAATTAACTTATTGATATAACTAATAAATTCAATGTGGTAAACTAACACTTCAATAGCCGGCGTATTTGAGACACCTGCACTTTCACTTAAATTACATATTTCATTGAAATTAAGACAAACTTTTTTTTTTCTTCTAAAAATTAAAAGATAAATGGTGCAACTAAAATTCGATGGGGTCTAAATTATGTTATTCAATTTATACAATTTAGCTATAAGGATTTTTAAGAAAATAGGAGGTATATTTCAACAATAACATTTACCAATAGGTACCTATTATCACTTTGTGATATAAATTTAAATTATGTTACTTTTATTCATTTATATTTCTGAAATGAATCAAACATCTAAAAAAAAAAAATGTTCTTGGAAAACTCCATATTTCTGAATTCGTAACAAAAAAAAAAAAAAAAAAAAAAAAGAAAGAAAAAATAGGGGCATACAAAATCCCATACCATCAAATGAATTAATAAAATTAAATAAATATTTTTTAAAAATGCAGAGAATAGTATAGACTTATAAAAATGTAGAATAAGTTAACAAAAATTTACTAAGTAATGATGAGGATAAACTGTCTTCCTACAGATATAATACCATAAATTCAATATTTTGTGGTTTTAATTCTTAAATAAAATAAAATAGTTCACTATTAAATTGGCTGATTATATCTTCTGCATTTGAGCAAAAATCACTAAATTCAGTTGGTGAATTTTATATCTTAATATTTTACTAGTAAAAAAATAAAACCTACATTGACTAAAAGAATATCAACCATCAAGACTTAGTTATGTTTCTCAGATGGAAATATATAGGTTGCTAAGTGAGGAGATGAGCTTTGTATGCGAAACATGAATTTTTTACAACTTAGGACTTGATGACTTTTACTAAAACAGACAGATATCAGAATAAATACACTTTATCTTCTCTATGATTTTTTAATTACCATTATGTGGGTTGATAACGTTTATTTATTGACCATTCATACAATTATAAAACAAACTTATGGGGATGCCTTAACCATAGAGTAAGTTAAGACATAGATACTATTTCATTAAAATGGAAAATATACAATTCAAGGTATAAGCCTAACGAAATTCAATGGGAATATTCCATACTCTTATAATTAAAAAAACAAATAACATACCTTAAAATTAATAGGCCTTCACAAACATGTCATGCAGTAAATCCTGATATTTAAGTTTGACATAACTTTGAGAATGTTCTAAGGAATATTCCAAACAGTACCCTAATAAAAAAGTATTCAGGATAATTTATTTTTCTGTCACTAATAACATTGAAAGGCAGCATAAAACATAGATTTTGAATAACCATAACACACTACCAATCGTAAACGACTACGTTCAACTAGTTGCATTTAGTTCTATTACAAAGAAGAAATAGGTTGTACTAAAAAATTTTGTTTTCACCAGTTAATATCATCAGCAAAGATAAGGCAACTTTTAAGAATGATTTAGAACTGAAATAAACAATATATATATATATATATATATATATATATATATATATATATATATATATAATATATATATATATATATTTCCCCACAGATGTAGGGTTTCCTTTTTTTAATTTCCAAATGTTCCAATGTTGAATCCGAATATGATTTTTATCATCACAAGAACGTCAACACCAATTAAAGGTAATACTAGCCAATCATTGTTCATTTATATTAAATAATAATAATAATAAACTCTTCAATTGGTTGAATTATTTTCTGTAAAACGTAGATTATTAGAATTGGGAACATTTATTTGGCCACTTGATACAATAAGGATCAATTACCACAATATAAATCTGTATAAGAAGCACTATAGCAGTACCACTTTAGACATTTTTTTTTAAGCACCAGATTTTTTTTGCATGTTGATATATTTAATTTAACACCAATTTTTTTAAGTTAAAAAATAAAAGGTTTAGTCCAGTTGGAAGCTGATTGTAAAAAAACACAATGTGAAAAAATGAAGAAGAAATTGGGAATAATTCATGATTTTAAGAATAGCAAAACAGCGTGGTTTAACTGCTCAAAAGCATCCTTAAAATGGTTTTAAGAAAGTCAAGTTTTATTTCCATTTGGAGGATATTTGTCAAGTTTACTATGAAATAATTAATAATTACCTTAGTTAAGTAATTATACCTTTCGAGCTAAAGTCCGTCCCTCCCCAAAATGGTAAAATATAACCATGTCTTATGAAAAAAATATAAGAAAATTATTATTAAAAGTATTATTGTTAGTGTAATTATACGTTTAATAGGACTTCAAGAATTACTTAAACGACATCCAATATAGGTAATTAGGATCTTTCTTGTTCTTCTAAATTAATAATCGTTTTATATATAAACGAACATAGTATATATATATATATACGGGCTAGGGTAGTCGGGTATATGAGCCCCGTAAGGCTACTGGACACAACTCACACCAACCGAGCGTAGGACTGATGACCCTAAACCCGTGTACTTAAATCGGGAAACGGGATGTGGTCTAGGAGACTAGATATATATAGTCTCATATATATACATATATAAAAAAGCTATTGGGCTGAGGCCCCTCCCTCCCTCCCAAAAAAATGAAAATCTGGATCCACTAGTGCTGTGCGGAACTCACTTAGCTTTGCTCACAAAAGCAACACAACAATTAAATTACCTGTTGAATATTGTTTCAATAGAGACTATTTCCAATTGCACTTCAAGAAACTTTGTCTAGTTTAGAATGTATAAAGCAATGGGTAACAACCTAAATTAAACATTTTTTTAGTTGTCACAACATTAAACAAGATATGTGACACTTAAAAAAATACAAATCTTGAATTTCCCGCTTTTTCTGTGTGCAATGTCAATCAGGTTTCTTCAAACTTTTTGGCCCGCTGGCCAATTTAGTCCTCTAAAGACCTGCGAGCCACATTTTTACGGAGTTTTGATTTTTGAGGGTGCATATTTCGACGGGGTTATGAATTTACGGAGTGAAAATTTTTAAACCAGGGAACAAGTGGAAAAACATGGACATTTTGAAAAACATTTTGTGATTGTATATTATCTACGATTTTCTAATTCTAATTCTACTTTGGCATGCACTATTTTAAATATTTTTGTAGGTTACTTCAAAAATTTAAAATATAATAAATAATTAAGCAAACTATTAAGTAATTTAATTTTTAATAGACCTGAATGACTGCCACGATCACTATTATTATCTTCACTTTCAGATTTAGAATTTGTTGTATACTGGACTCAGCATGTTTAGAAGCTATTACATAGAACTGATTTTTGCGACTTTGTTCTGTTGCTTAGCTAAGTTCACTAACGAGGAGAGGATACAGTCTGTGGGTCACCTCAAGATTTCAACCAAATTTTTTTTGGTGATACTACATCGAAAAATATTATATAAGTATGTGAGCCCCGTAAGTCTACTGGACGCAACTCACACCAACCGGGCGTAGGACTGATTATCCTAAACCTGTGTACTTAAATTGGGAAACGGGATGTGGTCTAGGAGACTATATGGATATAGTCTCATATATATACATATATAAAAAAGCAATTGGGCTGAGGCCCCTCCCTCCCACCCCAAAAAAAATAAAAATCTGGATAAAAGTATCCTGGCGTTCTTTTCAATGGGCTTTAGAAGCCGAGAAAAAATATTTTATATAATTTCAAACAAAATTTATGTTATTTATTTTAGCCTTTGCTTTGCCCGGCTTTTTAGTTTGCTATATTTCAATCCTTTTGTTTTATTTTATTTTATTATGCAGAATAAGAAAAAAATATTAACTATTGTATTAAATGAGTTATAATGTATCATACATTACAAAAAACAAAAGGTGCTTACAGTAAATTAGACCATGTAAATTTTTGTTATGAAAAAGCCAATTAGATTCCTTTTTAGGGTCCTTTAAAATTCTTAAATAAGAATTGTTATATAAATGAAAAAAAAAATTAAACCTTAAGTACTTCATTTTCTTGGATAAGTTTTTTTCCGGCCTTCAACTAAAGCATTAATGAATCCTCAGGATTTTCTTCAAATCAAACTTTAATACAACCGTTGGAAGGCAGTGGATCAGCTGATGCGAAAGGTCGTGTTTTTACATCGTCTCTCAGAATTTGCTAATTATTGTGAGACCCTGCCGCAACAACAACATATACCTCAAAATTCTCAACCCCACCCTCAACATCCTAATCAAACTTCACCTAATCAACAGTTTTATCAACACCAAATTCCTCGCATTCCTCCTCCCTCAAATACCACAGATCTCACCAGTTTACTTACATCTTTCCTCTCCGAATTCAGATCCTTTGTTACTCCTTTGATATCTCTTCTCACCAATCTTGTATCACATTTTATCCCTCCCGCGAAAAATCCTTAAATGACTTCCAATAAACCTTTATCCATTCTCCTTTGGAATGCGAATGGTGTTAGGAATCATACAAACGAACTAACTACATTATTACTTGACAAAAATATTGACGTGGCATTAATTACTGAAACTCGACTAACCACTAAACAGCACTTCAAAATACCACAGTACCTGACATATCGTACTGACCACCCTGACGGAAAAGCACATGCCGGTACTGCTGTCATTGTACACCAATCCCTCTCCCATCACCTACTCCCGTTACCTACACACGATTTCCTACAGTCCACCGCTATCGTGATAAAAACCTTTTCTTTTCTGGTTACCCTTGCATCAGCGTATTGCCCTCCTAACCGATCCATATCCAATGCCCAATTCCGTTCTCTCCAAGACTCCTTAGGACATCACTTCATCTTGGGTGCAGACCTAAATGCCGAACATCAACAATGGGGTTCCAGAACCACGAATAATCGTGGCCGAACCCTGCTGTCTGCACTCAATTCCCAACGTTTTCACCTCCTTTCCCCCAACTCTCCTACCTACTGGCCTACAGATTAGTGGCCAACCGTAATCCTGATCTTCTTGATTTCTTTATCCACAGCGGCTTAAGTCCCCTTAATTGTTCCATTACACGTCTAAATGAACTTTCCTCTGACCATAGTCCTCTAATCCTTAATGTTTCACTTGAAGCCGTTCCCAAACCTTCTCCACCGTCATTTATTAGGGGCCCAGTTAACTGGGACCTTTTCCGCCAAATCATCTCCGATAAAATTGATCTTCACATATCCCTCAAAACTCCCGATGACCTTGATAGTGCCGTAAATTCCTTTACTACCACAATCCAACAAGCCGCCTGGACTGCCTCCTTACCAAAAGACTCCTCCAGAATTCCTAAAAAGACCATTCTACCCCAACACCTCCTTGACCTAATCCACACCAAACGCCGTACCAGATTATTGTGGCAATGTACCCGACATCCTACCGACCGCTGCTCCTATAATTATTACTGAAAAAAATTAAAATTGGAATTAGCCACCTTCAGATCACATTCCTTCAACTCCTACCTATCCTCCCTCTCTTCTCGCGACAATTCCGTTTGGAAAACCACAACAAAAATCCTAAATCCTCACCGCATTTCCCATCCCCTCCGACGAGATGATGGCTCCTGGGCAGCATCTGACGAAGATAAGGCTGAGGAGTTTGCCATTCACCTATCCAATACATTTATTTCACATCCGGAATCCCATCCTGCCCACACCGTAACAGTAGAAGAACTCCTTACATCACCAATCCCACTTTCCTTGCCCCCAAAAGCTATTCATCCTTCCGAAATGAAATTTCAATTAAAAAAACTAATCCCCCGCAAAGCTCCTGGACATGATCTCCTTACCCCTCAAATCCTTCGACAACTTCCATCCAAAGCAGTCATATTCCTTACATATATATACAATTGTATCCTACGCACCACCCACTTTCCTCTGTTATGGAAACACTCCACTATTATCCTTTTCCCAAAACCAGGCAAACCTCCCAATATCTCAACATCCTATAGACCAATTAGCCTATTCCCAATCCTTTCAAAAATTTTTGAAAAGATCCTTTTGAAACGAATACTACCCATTATAGAATCCCAAAATATTCCTTTCCATCAGTTTGGTTTTCGCTCCCAACATTCTACTGTTCAACAAGGACTCCAAGTTGTTGATCATATTTCCTCAGCCCTAGAAAACCAGGAATACTGATCGGGTGCATTTCTGGACATTGCACAGGCATTTGACCGGGTATGGCACTCCGGACTGCTCTTCAAGCTTAAAATCCATTTACCTCAGTCCTTGTACCTAGTCCTCCGATTCTACCTCTCTGGCCGCTCCTTCCGAATTCGCTGTAGAACAGAATTTTCCAATACCTACTCCGTTAAAGCCGGTGTTTCCCAAGGCAGCGTCTTGGGTCCCGTGCTTCACATCCTCTTTACTGCTGACATCCCTGTTCATCCCAATACTTTTCTTGCAGCATTCGCTGACGACACCGCAATCTTATCATCCAACTCTGATCCCAACATAGCATCCTTAAATCTCCAAAGCCACCTCACCT